CCAGGGGGCCCAGGGGAGGGGTCGGGGGGGGAGAGCTAGGCCCGGTTGCTGAGTGTGTCATAGGGTTGCCAGGTATCCGGTATTTTTGCCTCCTGGCAGGGAAAAAAACCCAGAAAATAATGGCCGTTTTAGGTGTCCGGTATTTTCTGAATTTTTTTTTACCGGACAGGAGGCAAAAATACTGGACACCTGGCAACCATAGTCACAGAAGGGGTTTAAGACCCTGCACAGCTGCTGAGGGGGGGCTTCTTCCATCTATGCTCCTGTCAGCATCAGACCACCACAGCTGTGATGAGGAAGGGAGAAGAGTTACCGTCCGTGATCCACCATCATCACAGAAGTTCTTCTCAGGGATCTCCCTGAAGCGCCTCCTTGAGAGCTTTCAATTAACTCGAGGGTGGTAGGTCCCAGGCCTCGGCAGCACGGGCACCATCCAGCTTGATAACACCAGCACCTCTGAATGGAACAGAGGTTTACTTTCTTGGGTTCTTTCCTGTCGTCTCTTCTTTTCCTTCTGACCAATGGGAACATTTGGGCCCAGGCTTCATGCCTCCCTGATGAAATCCCTACACTGTTACATACTGTTATTTAGTCACAGTTGAGTAAGGATGCTTACTATCATTTGTGTTATTGTTTTAGTTCTTATGTGAAATCCCCATTTTTTTCCCAGTTATTGTTATTTCATGCCCCAATACATTTGTTATCTTATTTTAGAGTGTCCTTCTTTATTTATACATCACACTGGGAGGACGCACTGAGGGGTTACTCCAACCATTGATAGATGCGCGGAAAGGGGTGTACATCCTCTGAAACAGGGGCCCCCCGATATAAGGGGTCACTTTTTAATTTCTATTTTCTTAGTTGCCCTTGCCCCTAGGTAACAGGTATGATGAACCAAATGGGGTCCTTAAGGCACTTGTCTGTTGAGGGTGTCCCATTCCAGATCAGACTTTTTTGGGGGGAGGGGTCATTAGAGGGGTATGAAAAGATACTTTATACTTTAGCAAGGGTTTTGCTAAATTTTAAAAGGCTTTCTTTAGCCATGGTGCAAAAGGTTGATTCAATTTGCAAACATGTTAAATATATGAACAACGGCACCAGCCACATGATTAAAATTCAACACATCTGAATTAGCACAAGTAGCCTTAATCAACTGTGAGAGACAACGGGTGGGAAAAGACCAGAACTTGCCATACAGCTATCACTGCAGGCCAGGTAAGTGAGAGCAGTGCATGCATCACTGCAGCCTGTGTACTGTACGTGCATAAAGCAAGCATCAGTAACACACATGTGTCTGTTTTCTTCTGCTCCTATGAGGATTTGACACATTTTAAAAGCAAAAATAAAAAACACAAATAACAAAGCCTGACTCCCCCATTTTGTTGGCTCAAGGATGTTTCCTGTTGTATTTCTTTCTGTTGTGTGCGTTGAATGAATGCCTGAGCCTGGGTCACTGTGGTAAAAGGAGACCAAATTCACTTTGCAGGCTCAATCTGTTCCCAAAATAAACAAACATGAAAGAGAATTAACTCCTTCAATAGGACAGTGGGGAAACGGCTTCTGGGGCCTGGTAACAAATACAAACCCTCTGCTTCCCTCACACAGAATAGCATGGGAATCCAGGGAGGGATGCTCCCTCACTAGGCTGCCTGGTATCCAGGGCTGCATGCACTCTTTAGAATAGGGTGCAGCTTGTTTCTCACAGGCTGGGTCTACACTACAGCAGAAGGTCGAATTAGGATATGCAACTCCAGCTACGTTAATTATGTGGCTGGCGTTGACGTATCTTAAAACGCATTTTCACACCGTCCACACAGAGGGAGGTTGATGGGAGAAAACACTCCCATCGGCTTCCCTTACTCCTTGTGAGGAGCAGGAGTACCAGTGCCAACAGGGGCACCCTCTGACTTTGATTTAGCAGGTCTTTACTAGACCCGCTAAATTGAACCCTGGAAAATCAACCCAGCAGTGTTGATCTTCCGTGTAGTGAAGACGTGGCCTGTTCTGTGGGCTAGATTGAATGAGGGAGTCCCGGTTCTGTCCCACTGAGGATGACATGTATTTTGAGGGTGCATGCATCCAACGGGGCCTGCAACTGTTATTGGACCAAGCAGAAGGTGCACAAGATTAACAGAATTCAGAATTATGAGGCAAATGCCACAAAATCACACAATTGGCCCCAACATCCTGCGTCTGTGATTTTTGTTCTGCCTTTTGAGTTTTGAACTCTTCCTCTCCCTCCACCTCCTGTTACGGTGATGGCAGTTACAGTGTTGCCATCTCTCCCAAATTCACAGTTAGGTGATTGTGGCCCTGTTGCAGGAGCTCTCACTGGGAGAAACATCTGAGATCAAATTACAGGGATTTGTATGAAATGATGCCAGGTGGTTGCCCCCTAGCCAGTCTCCATGGGAGGAGCAGCCAGTCAAAGCTGTTGCCTGTGGAGCTCTGCCCATTTCCCTCAGGAGCCGACGCTGTTTTCACACGTGAGAAGAGGGCAGCAGAAAGAGCTCCTCAGGTCAGGGTGGCTCTCTTCTTCTTTCCGCTTTCTTGTGAAAGTGCCTCCTCCTTCCCCCTCACCCCTCCACAGAGGTGTCCCTAGGAGGCTATGGGACCCAGGGCAGATGAGACAAATATGTCACTTCCAGGACCAATCAGTCACTTCTGGGGTTGACTGCACCAGCCAATTATGCCAGTATGTAGGACCCTGTAAAGTGAAGAGCCTGCAACACTCCCCCCCACTACCCGATTAGCCATCCCCTAGGGACAACTCTGCTTTTCTATCCCTGCAGCTCCAGGCACAGGGTCATTGGAGAAGTGGGCGATGGACTCTAGTGATGCAAGAGAAGCAGATGTAGGGGACGACAGTAGATGTGGAGCTGCAGGGGAGGCATAACTGATTGCTGAGCTGGGGGGCAAAGTTGATGTGGGTAGTTGGGGGATGTATAATTAATTTCTGGGCTGTGGCATGGGCAACTGTGGGCTTGGTGGGGCACAGAATTAGTTAGAAGTGTGGGGAGAAGCTGCAATCACAGAGACCCAAGGAAGTACTTCACATAATTCACAGTCAACCTGTGGAACATGTTGCAGAGGGAATGTGTGAAGGCTAGAACTATAATGGGATTTAAAAAAAAAAAGAACTAGATAAGTTCATGGATCCGTCAATGGTTATTAGCCAAGGTGGTCAGAGATGGAACCTCAGAGATGTTTTAGGTAGCCTTAGCCTCTGACTGTCCAAGGCTGGGAGTGGATGATAGGGGATGGATTATTTGATGATTGCCTGCTCTGTTCATTCTCTTTAAAGCCCCTGGCATTGGCTATTGTCAGAAGACAGGATGCCGGGTTAGATGGACCAATGGTCGGACCCACTATGGCTGTTCTTATATTCTTATGTTCCTCACCATCAGGTAACAGCAAAGGCCAGAATCACATTACCCTGTACATTCGGGTGTATTGGCAACACTAACTTCACACACACATATATACACACACTGGCAATGGTCAAGGGGAGTTCAAAAATGCAAAACCAAACTAATATAAGAACATAAGAACAGCCATATTGGGTCAGACCAATGGTCCATCTAGCCCAGTATCCTGTCTGCTGACAGTGGCCAATACCACATGCCCCAGAGGGAGGGAACACAACAGGTAATCCTCACATGATCCCTCCCTTGTCACTCATTTCCAGACAAACAGAGGCTAGGGACACCATTCCTACCCATCCTGGCTAATAGCGATTGAGGGACCTAACCTCCATGAAGCTATCTAGCCCTTTTTTGAACTCTGTTAAAGTCCTAGCCTTCACCATCCTGTGGAAAGGAGTTCCACAGGTTGACTGTGCACTGAATGAAGAAAAACTTCCTTTTGTTTGTTTTAAGCCTGCTACCCATTAATTTAATTTGGTGACCCCCAGTTCTTATATCATGGGAATAAGTAAGGGTACGTCTAGACTACCGCGTTTTGTCGACAAAGCAAGCTGAGTTCACACCTATTATTCCATCATGGAAAAGTAAACCATTTAAATATAATCAAAATCCAGAGAACCTTCCCTCATCAGCATTTGGTCCTAAAGTCCCTTTAACAAAAAATTGGAGAATTATTGAAGTTCTGAAAAAAACTTGATTGCAATGAGAAATTGAAAAAGCCCAATCTATTTAGCTTAACAAAACAAAGGATAAGAGGTGACTTGATCATGGCATGAAATCCTGGATCCATGGAAGTACATGGAAGTTTTGCTATTGACTGCCACGAGACTAGAATTTTACCCATGATAAGTACCTGCATGAGGAGATAGATCTGAAATTAGAGGGCTCTTTAATATAGCTGGTCTGAAAAGAAAATTTCCATTCCACAGGCAATTCTGATATTTTGATATCTGTTTTGTTCTGGATTAGAATTTCAGGTAATTTTGATTTGGAGCTATCAAAATGTTTTGACAATGTTGAATTGTTTTGTTATGCCAATGTTGACTATACATTACAGAGTTTTTGCTAATGCCAAAACATCATAATATAAAATATTAACTATATTAAAATATAAAAGCTTAATAGAGATGATAAAAGTTGTAACTGATGTTTTACCTTATTGAAATGTAACATTTTGACATCAGAAAAATGAAGAAAAAAAAGTGTTGATGGATACATTCCTGCAAAATGTTTAGGTTTTGATTAAACTGGATTTTCTGATAGTAAACTATTTTTTTACCAGATCTACTCTTTGATCTATCATAACATAACAAAGTCCAGTGTCTGAAAGGTGAAGCTTGACACATTCAGACTGGAAGAAAGGAACATGTTTTTAATGGTGAAAGGAATGAATTATTGAACAGCATCGCAAAGGAGGTGGTGAAAGCTGTACCACCTCAACTCAACTTTGTCTGTCTCTCTAAGGACACGTCTACACTGCATCCCTCTTGCTCAAAAGCCTATGCAAATGAAGCACGGATTAGCATATTGCCACACTTCATTTGCATAATTAATTAGGGGCTGTTTTTGCGCAAGAGGTTTTTTGCACAAAAAGGAGCCATCTAAACAGCTCTGTTTTGAGCAAAATCCCCCTCTTGCGCAAGAGCCATTCTTCCTGAAAAAATGAGCTTAGTGTATTAGCCTCTGGATCTTAGTGTATGAGCCTCTACAGCAGGGTTGGGCAAAATCAGGCCTCGGGGATGGTCCCGCCCACCAAGCATTTCTCTCCAGCCCACACAGCTGATTAGCAGAGCGAGCATACTTACAACCAGCAGAGTGTGTTCACCTGCCCCTCTCCCGCCCCACCTTGCTCAGTCCTGCAGCTGAGCTGCTCCCTAGATTCTCCTGCTAGCTGTGCAGAATGGGGGAGGGGAGAGACGAGTGGTGCAGTCAGGGTGTTCCCCTGCCCCTGCATCCCATCTCGGCAGAGAGAGGGAGAGACACAGTCAGGGGAGCTGCTCCTGATGTTCTCTTCTCATAGTCATAACTTACATGAGACGAGTCAGTGCATGTGCAGCCTGCTTGATCCCAGAACTAAAACTGAATGACTGGGGTTGGCACAGGTGGAGCAGCTCAAATATGCACCACATTAGCATTGCAGGGCAGGGGGTGAGTGGTAGTGACATCACAAAGCCATTTGCAGCCCCTCAGCTTATTGGCTAAAGGACATTGGGAGGCAGTGACCTCACAGAGAGGTGATGACAACAGCCAGATAGGACAGGCTGCAGGGCAGGGGCAATCTCAGAGAGCCCCATGGCTGTGTTAAGGGAGTCTCCTCCCTGAAGTCTGTTCAGGGTGACGAATGTGAGCATGAGGAGGAACCTCTTTGGAGTGTTCTCCTTTCCCAGAACTAATTGAGCTAGAAGACAGACGTCCCTGTGGAGCAAGTGAAAGCCTATGAGAGGTTTGATGCTGATGCAGCCTGATCTACCTGGTGCTGGCCAAATGCAAGACATGGGAAACACTAAGGGTATGTCTATACTAGCCCCCTAGTTCGAACTAGGGAGGCTAATGTAGGCATTTGACGTTGCAAATCAAGCCCGGGATTTAAATATCCCACGCTTGATTTGCATCTTCCCGGCCGGTCGCCATTTTTTGAAATGTACAAGTCCAGACGAACTGCCCGCGTCTACACGCCGCAGCGACCCAGTAGTTTGAAATAAAGCCCTAGTTCGAACTACCTGTTATTCCTCCTGGAATGAGGTTTAACAGGTAGTTTGAACAAGGGCTTTATTTCAGACTACCGGGTCCCTGCCACATGTAGACGCGGGCAGTTAGTCCGGACTTGTAAATTTCAAAAATGTTGACTGGCCGGGAAGATGCAAGTCAAGATGCAAGTCAAGTATGGGTTATTTAAATCCTGAGCTTGGTTTCAAGCTAGGGGGCTTGTGTAGACATACCCTAAGTTACATTGCGAGAATTATTTTCCCACCAAGGCCATTGTCCGTTATTATCACTGAGAACATTGGAATTTGTCTTTTCATTTCCCTTTTCCTATAGCTTCCTGCTCCTCAGAGTCTCTCTGCTGATTGGATGAGCTGGGGGAGAGGCCAGTGACAGGTAGGAGACTCAGGACTTGGTTGTTCTCTTTAAGGCTCAGCAAATGAGCCAGAACCAATTAGCTGCTTGGGGAATTGTTCTGCTTCTCTGCATTGGTTGGATCTGAACAGTTCCCGATTGGCTCTGTCAGTTGGGTGTTACAATCCTCTCTTACCCCCGGGCTAGGGAGGTTGGGGAGCTCTGAAGATCTGTGAGAGAGTGTTGCTAGCAGCAGGGTGTACTACGAGGTGTCCTATCAGTTGGAGTCATTACAGATGGCGAGGGGGAGCACTAGAGGCCTGTTCTTCCAACCCTCCATTGTGCAGCTTTTCCAACAAGCAGCACACGCAGGGCCAGGAGCAGGTGATTCATCTTGTGGCCACTAGATGGCGCTGCAGGTTCACACTTCCCCATTCTCTTGCTTATCTGAATTTTTGATGATCTGAACTGGTCCCAGTCCCAATTCAATGTGACAATGGGACTCTGCTTGTAATAGCTGGAACAGTCAATTGTCCTGGTATTTTATTTTGTTTAAATCATTAAGAGGAGCAACTCCTTAGCTAAGAGGAGGGCAAGATATGGCCCACCAAGACTTTCAGTCCTGCCCGCGGCCAACCTGCGGGGACCCTGTGGCAGGGAGCAGCCCCAGGGCTCAGAGCTGCCTTTCTGTAAGGGGGTAAAGGGAACCTTTGTGTGCTACCCCACCCCCAGCACAATTGTTCTGCTCCCACTAGTGGATTACCATTGGCTGCCCCTGCCCCCATCACAATCTCTCAGCTCCCATTTGCCAGAACTAGCCAATGGAAGATTCAGTGTTCCCTGGAAGCCGTGCAGCAACTCACCTTCACAGATGATTAATCAGCTTAGCCCACTGAGAGGCTCAGGGCTCCCTGTACAGAGCTGACTGACTGGGTGGCGCTGTGCTGCCACACAGCTTTAGAGGGAACACTGGATAGATCCTCCCCCCCCCCATGTGCTTCCATATGAAGAGATTAATATAACTGGGACTTCTGAGCTTGGAAAATATATAACGAAGGGGAGATATGATTAAGGTCTATAAAATCATGATTGGTATGGAGAATGTAAATAAGGAAGTGTTATTTACCCCTTCTCATAACACAAGAACTAGGGCTCACCAAATGAAATGAATTGGCAGCATGTCTAAAACAAACAAAAGGAAGTATTTCTTCACACAACACAGCCAACCTGTGGAATTGACAGAGGATATTGTAGACATTAAGGCTACGTCTAGACTGGCATGATTTTCCAGAAATGCTTTTAACGGAAAAGTTTTCTGTTAAAAGCATTTTCGGAAAAGAGCGTCTAGATTGGCATGGATGCTTGTCCGCAAAAGCACTTTTTGTGGAAAAGCGTCCGTGGCCAATCTAGACGCGCTTTTGCGCAAAAAAGCCCCCATTTTGCGCAAAAAAGCCCCGATCGCCATTTTTCGCGATCGGGGCTTTTTTGTGGAAAACAAATCTGAGATGTCTACACTGGCCCTTTTGTGCTAAAGTTTTGCGCAAAAGCTACTTTTGTCCGAATGGGAGCAGCATAGTATTTCCACAAAAAGCACTGATTTCTTACAGTAGGAAATCAGTGCTTTTGCGGCAATTCAAGTGGCCAGTGTAAACAGCTGGCAAGTTTTTCCAGAAAAGCGGCTGATTTTCTGGAAAAACTAGCCAGTCTAGACACAGCCTAAGGCTATAAGAGGGTTCAAAAAAATACTAGATAAATTCATGGAGGATAAGTCCTTCGATTGGTATTTCTATTTAGATATATAGGGTCCCACCAAGCAAAAAAATGTAAGCATATCTATAAGTATGTTGTTGAATTGAGGCTTCGGAGCTTTGCTGAGTAATTAGTCTCCACCTCAACATGTCACATTTTGGGAGGATAAAAGAGTAATAGAAATTCTGGATGTTTGTAATTGCATTTCATCTAATAACAAGGTTTGTCAGCACAGTTATAATTAATTCTTTGGTTCAACAAATGATCCCAGAAAAAAAAGGGCACTTCATCATGTATCCAAGTATTTTCCTAGCCAGGTTTCAGCTTCTTTGTTAGTTTATTTAAAACTGATAGAAAGCTGAACAGTGTAGCAGAATGGGGGGAGGGAGGGGGAGAGAAAGAGGGAGAGAGAGAGAATCCGTGCAATATTGCGTGATATAACAGGGAGTGGAGAAAGCAAAGCTTGCAGCTGAAAAGCAGAGCTGGGAGATAAAAGAATGTAAGAATTGCCACACTGGAAAAATTAGGAGAGAGATGTTCTATTATATTAGCTACTTTCCCCATGCCCTTTTACAAGAATGAAGTGGAATGATCTGATTAGTAAAATACTGTGGCTATGAAGAGACCTACATCTGCTCCCTGTAAACTGTCCAGATATTTCTGTTTAATTCTATTCATTATAATAGAATATTCAGATATTTTTCATCATACAATGTCATTCTGCATTAGCATCTCTCACCTGATATTATCCTAATTCTGTGCCAGTGATCCACCTGTATTCTAGGTGTGATTACACAGTGTAGAACTGCTAAAGCAAAATCAGTATGTCTATTTCAACATGATATGGAAAGGTATATCCTCATAAAACAAATCTTGAAATGCTGTTGGGGAAGAGATTAAACAACATTAAAGAAGTGAAGTTGGAAGTAGGATTAATACACTTTAATAAAGATTTGCTCAGGAACTGATTTTCTGTTGTTGCAGGTTTTGCCTGAGCAAACAATGCAGGATTTAGCTGTAAAACACAAACTGACATCCGATGATAGACTTCAGATAGAAAATTAGATCAGTGATGTTATTGCATCTAAGTGAGGAATGAAAGGGTGGCAGCAGTGAACTCAATCAATGAACTAGAAACTGCCACATGGGATCAGACCTATTATCCATCAGATCCACTGTGCTTTTTCTCATCGAGGCGATTACCAGATGCTCCAGAGGAAAGTGAAAATCCTCCCAGAGTAGACAAGTTTGGGATAACTTGATTTTCATGAAGGACTCCGCCAACTCCTAAGAGTTAGAAAATGGTCAGAATTGGCTTTACCTCCCTTCCATATGCTTTTGTTATCATTATTCTTTAGCTGTACAATCATGAATGTATTTGCTTTTGTAATTCTTTGTCATTTGTATTGCGAACAATACACTTTTGCAAAAGACAAGATGAACCTCCTGCATGTGACACCCTCAGGACCTGACTAGTCCCAAGTCAGGAAATTTGCTAGACCAGAGGAGGTTGATTCCAGACTAGAAGCGGTTAATTCCGGCCCCTTTGCTGTCACTGGCATTGACACAGCAGTGATGTGCGGTAATAAGGGGAAGTGGTGGGACAACTACAGAGCCTTTTCTCCAGAATGCCCCCCTTCCTTGCTCCTTTCCCTCAGCTTGAACACCGCAAATCAACTATTTGTGGCACTCCAGAAGCTCTGGGAAGATGGGTGAAAAGTTGCTGAGTGATGGACCCCGACTGTTTCCTGTGAGTGCTTAATCCTGGATCACCACAGAGGCCAGACCACAGATAAGAGATTTCTGGATTATAGAGGTTCAACCTGTACAATACCTCTTTGACAAGTCAATTTAAGCCCTGCTTTTTGAAATAATGTGTATATTAATAATGTGATTACTGGGGTTATTGCAATGTTCTTAATGTTATTTATCCAAATACCCAGCGAACTGAACTATAATGGACACATACATATTCTAATTTCAATAGTATCTTTCCTTTTTTACAAATACAAATGTGAATTTTGCATTGAGTGAAATACACAATCAGACTAAAACTATACAACTTCTTCACTGTCAATGTCTGTTCCAGTGATCATTTTCCTCCCTAACTCATCTTACGTGTAGGATGATGATCAAACTCCTAGCCACAAATACTGACACCAATCAATCTGATATGATAATTCAGTTCATTATTAATTTTAAATTCATTCTTATTAATAATATATTTTCATGACTTGAATCAGGTAATTGATACACTAAAAAACACAATGAAGTTTTAATCCAATCCAAAGTTTCTAAACCCAAGATACAGCAAAAATGTTTCAGCGGTTTGGGTTACACTTATGTGACCCTAGAGATTCAGGACTAAGTACCTCTTCATTATTCTGGCCAAACAAAGAATTCAAGGTAACTAACTTATTAGCTATGCTTCATTTGCATCCACTTTAATGTGACAAGTAACCATGCAGTTTGAAATGTTCTCTTTTTTCCAACACATAAGGAGTCCAATCAGATACCAACTGGTTTGTCCCCTTATCTATAGTGCTAAACAGAGCAGAACAGAAGTTAAGAGGCTGAAGGAGAGAAGAGGGAAAGACCCTGAATACTAATTTCTCTGTTTCTGTTCAGATCCAAGATTTAAAGGTCACCCTCTCAGGTGAAAGCACACTTTGAAAAACAGGTCTAAAGACATTTTCTCTGGCTAATATGAAAAAAGAAGGTAGTTCTACTATGATCTTGACTGAATTTTTACCCTCACCTCATTTGTATTAGACAAAAATGTACACTTTCTATAATAAAGCAAAATTTAAGACATCACATGTTATAAAAAAGCTCTCCTAACATTTTTCATGTCCAACAACCCCACTGATTATTAATGGCACAGACAAAAATAGATTCTTTAGGTATTTCTGCATAAGAGCACCCTTTGAAATTATTCTCATTTTGAATATCTAGTAATCTTTTAATACTGACTTACCTGGCTTCTCCTGATATGACGATTAACTTCAGAGAGTTTAAATAGACAGGAGGTTATCACACTGTTTTAATAAGCTATTAGTGAAAGGTAATAGTCTGTGAGTGGACAGGCTTAATAAAATTGCCTTAAAAATCTTGTGAAAATGGTATGATAATCCCAAAGGCGACAAGGCTAAATGAAATAGGATCATGTGCAAGCAAAGTGCCTGTGGTATGTACTGAACTGAATCCCTAAATGGAATGACTTAGCCGTAGTGCAGGTCAGGATGTGAAACCACTTTGGGCAGTAATTACTTACACTGAAAAATAGAACTGAAAGGATTTTTTTCTCATTTAAAGGGACAGCACCTTCCAATGTAAATTGGCTGATGTCACTAGGCAGTGGTTGATCTGATTTAGCCCCTCAAAAAAAAGTCGTGGAGATTTTTGGTGCTTCAGGTGAGTGATTCTGGACAACAGAATGGGGTAGGAACACTGAAATAAAGTAACTGATAGTCATAGAATCATAGAATCATAGAATAATAGGACTGGAAGGGACCTCGAGAGGTCATCGAGTCCAGCCCCCCGCCCTCAAGGCAGGACCAAGCTCCACCTTGGAGCTTGGTCAACTAAATGTCTGCTTCAGTGGAAAACTTCCTGGCCATTTTGCTAAGGCTATGATGAGGGAAGACAAGAGTTGAGCAAGGGATGATGGTGATGACATGAAGTAATAAGGATGAGGTGTCACTGCTCTACCGACTGCATCCGAAGCATCACAGGAAGCAGTGAAAAACTCGAAGTTGCCATAACCCCTTCGTCCTTGGAACTCAACATGCTATGCAGGTGTTAATCAATCAAGTCCCAAAGCTGTCCTGTGTGGGTAGGGAAGTATTATTACCCCTATTATACAGAAGAGGAAAATAATTAAGTCCTGGGGCTGTTGAAGTTAACAAGAGCTTTGTCATCCACTTCTGTGGCGCCAGGACTTTACCCAGTGAGTTTCAGATCCAAAGTCCCAAAAGAGGCCTGCAATTTTGAATGCCTTCTTTTTCGGAGTGTCCAGCCTAAATCCTGATTTTCAGAGGTTCTATCCCAAATTTAAGACACCCAACATTATTGATTGTATTTGGAAATCATACCCCAGCAGCGATTTAAAGTAGCTGTAGCCCCAGTAGTGGGAGTTGGGAGTTCTGGGCCCTTTTGTATCACTTAGCATCAGGGCAGTTGTCCTCTGTCCCCCTCCCCTATCAGTCAGCCTGCTCATAGTGTATCCCAACTTTGTGAGCTGGAAGAGTGCTATGGTGTTACCCAATTAATGCAGCAAAATACTGTTCCTTGGTGTAGCACTTTGGCCTGCTAGTGTGTACTATTTGGAAAATTCAAAAGCCATGTTTTGCTGGATTTCCGAAAACAGGTTGCATTAAGTAGGACTGTCAGCTCATCAGGTGTTCCTGCTTCATTGGGCCCAGAGCTCTTTGCCAGCTTTCTTGGGGTTCTCCTGCATATCTGCATCTAAGCACACTTGTAGAAAGTTCAATCTAGTTATTTCTCTGCCTGCCCACCCTTGAGCAAATACGTCTTACTTTAAGAGGTGTCTCATCAGTCACAACAAGAAACATCAATGAGAGACAGGCTCAAGCAATCAAGTTTGGATTTAAATCTGTATCCAGGCCCAAAGGGGCAGTTTGCTGGGCTCCAATTCAATCTGGGTCTGTATATTAACTTCACCATGGTCCACGGGTGTTGAGACCTAAGGCTTGGTTTGAACTCCCACCTTGTGCATTTGTTATTGGTGAAAATATTGAGGGAAGTGATTTTTGCAGAGGAACTCAGGGTGATGAATAAGCAAGGGGGAGAGAACGAGAGCGAGAGAGAGGGAGGGGAGTGTGTGTGTGTGCATGTGTGTGTGTGTGCATGTGCACACGAACACGTGCACATAGTGAATGCTCCTATACATCTGTCCTTCTGGTGGTCAGATTACTGACCTGGAATGTGGAAGACCCAGGTATAAATTCCTGTTCTGCCTGGTTTAGCGTGCTCTGCAATGAAAAACTCTGCTCGTCCACATCTCAGTGTGATAGAATTTGTTCGTGTCTCTCTCTCTCAGGGGTGAGACTCCACTACCTGTGGATCAATGCTGTGGCGATCGATCCACTCAAAGTCAATTTAGCAGGTCTAGTGAAGACTCACTAACTTGATTGCCGAACGCACTCCTGTCAACTGTAATACTCCACTGCAGAGAAAAGCTTAAGGTAGATGTATGGGAGAGTTTCTTCCGTCAACTCTGCACAGTGTAGACACCACAATAAATCGGTCTAAGTTACATCGACTCGGGCAATGGTATTCACATATCTGAAGTTGTGTAAATTAGGTTGACTTTACTCCATTGTGCAGACTTACCTTCAGACGTTACATTTCCAGTAAAGCAGCATATATGGGTGAAATCTCATTTTGGAAACAATGTACCAATTTGCTCTGTGTGACACTCACCTAATAAAAGACAGCATTTGTGAACTGGGATTGAATGTTGTAGCATGAGTAACTTGGAAACACCTTTTATTGAAAGGATCTGCCTTAGTCCAGCACAGATTTTATTGTCATTGATCCTTGCTGAATAACTCATCAACAAGACTGGGATGAAAGTGCCCAGTATAGTGACAGACAAAAACAGCTGTACCTGAGAAAATGTGTTTTCTGGGAGCAATTCCAAATCGTTTGATGTCTGGACATGAATATAAT